GTCGTAAAACTGTGTGGTACCTTCTGTCGTAAAACTGTGTGGTACCTCATGTCATACAAATGTGTGGTACCTTGTGTCGTAAAACTGTGAGGCACTTCATGTCGTAAAACTGTGTGGTACCTTGTGTCGTAAAACTGTGAGGCACTTCATGTCGTAAAACTGTGTGGTACCTCATGTCATACAAATGTGTGGTACCTTGTGTCGTAAAACTGTGAGGCACTTCATGTCGTAAAACTGTGAGGCACTTCATGTAGTAAAACTGTGAGGCACTTCATGTCGTAAAACTGTGTGGTACCTTGTGTCGTAAAATTGTGAGGCACTTCATGTCGTAAAACTGTGTGGTACCTCATGTCATACAAATGTGTGGTACCTTGTGTCGTAAAAGTGTGAGGCACTTCATGTCGTAAAACTGTGAGGCACTTCATGTCGTAAAACTGTGAGGCACTTCATGTCGTAAAACTGTGAGGCACTTCATGTCGCAAAACTGTGTGGTACCTTGTGTCGTAAAACTGTGAGGCACTTCATGTCGTAAAACTGTGTGGTACCTTGTGTCGTAAAACTGTGAGGCACTTCATGTCGTAAAACTGTGTGGTACCTCGTGTCGTAAAACTGTGGGGTACCTCATGTCATAAAAATGTATGGTACCTCATGTCATAAAAATGTATGGTACCTCATGTCATAAAAATGTGTGGTACCTCATGTCATAAAAATGTGTGGTACCTCATGTCATAAAAATGTGTGGTACCTTATAAAAATGTGTGGTACCTTATAAAAATGTGTGGTACCTTATAAAAATGTGTGGTACCTTATGTCATAAAAATGTGTGGTACCTCATGTCATAAAAATGTGTGGTACCTCATGTCATAAAAATGTGTGGTACCTTATAAAAATGTGTGGTACCTTATAAAAATGTGTGGTACCTTATAAAAATGTGTGGTACCTTATAAAAATGTGTGGTACCTCGTGTCGTAAAACTGTGTGGTACCTTATAACATGTGCTGCATTACTGAAATAAATTATGGTTATCAGTCTATTATGGATGCTGGCATAGTCTGACGAACCCATTTTTGTATACTAGTCGGCGCTTGGTGGCTCCTTTGGCTACTGTCACGCGGCCGCCTTTACTTCTCTGAAAATTCCCAGGGGTTCCCTAACAAGAGCTTTCTTATGTGACCTTTACCTCTGTTCAATACAACGGCTGCTGACCTTCATGTCAAGGACGCACAGTGACCTTTGTCCGTGGCCGGTATATTAATTTAAAGACGAAATTTAAGAAAGTGGCAACTGGTGGACTTTTTGGTTGGTTACCCAGTGGAGCAGCTGGCATGGTGGGTAGATCGCTAGGCTGCCACACAGCACCTCAGGGTTCTAATCACCGGTCATGTAATGGGAAGTTTCCTTGGGTCTGTGACAAACATAAACATCTTAACCTGCTTATAGGATCAATGACCACCGCGACTCTTCTACCCAACCTTACACTGCCACAAAAGGTGCTACACTTGTCAGTGCAGACAGCTGGGCTATTCTACCAACAGCTGAGTCCGTGTCGAAGAAGCAACGCAGTTCAAAGAAGCAATATCATGTTTGGGAATGTGCTGAAAACCGCAAGCTATGAGAATCTCCCGCCCCACTCCCTTCGACGACTGACGATACTTTAGACTGTGGCAGAGCACCATGTGTCCGATAGTGGTGAAGCAGGTAAATTAGTGTATGTCGACACGGGCGTCTCCAGGCCAGTAAAAAACGTGTCTGACCTTTTATTGTCCAAATATAGAAGGCTGGAAAACCCAGCGCGCGCGTTTTCTTAACATATTTCGAGACCTCAGGTAAAGCCGGTCAGTGCAGAGGTTTATAAAGCACTCAGTGACCACCAGCTCGTTTTTGTCAATAGAGGTTTGAACCTAGTCTGTAAGAGATATCTTTCACGAGGACCATACAATGTTTAGTTGACTGCTGTGTTTCACACAATGTGTTGGTCTACGTGTTCAAAGAGCTCCCTCTTCAAAGGCATAAGACAGGCCTATTGAACTGGCAAGCGGCGAGCGGGGAATTATTAGTTGCACTGTATTAATAATCTGTCTATGCTGAGATTCCACTTTCTGGCCAGGGACGATATCCATTTTCTAAATTGTTGGTCTTGCATAAACGTAGTTGAACAGCCCTGACAGAGACGGTGATGATTCACCTCCTACACGATCAGCAATATCAGCAATCATGTCAGTGCTTGTGTCCGTCGTGAGGTCATAGCTAGGGATAGCCCAGTGGGCTGGAATAACCTGAGATCGCTGAGATTAATTGTAAGTCGAAAATATGACCCACTTTTTATTTAGTTCAGATAGACAACTGAGACTACAGGGTTGCTTCCTCTGGTGGCATGTTGGTGCAAGCTTTCCACGCCGTTGTTGTTGACTGTGTCTCTGTGTTGCCGTTAGAGATTGTGACGTAGATCCATCCACCCACTTCCAGAACAATCTGTGAACACCGATGTCCAAATACTGGACGGATAATGTTTCCTGGGCACATACAGGGAAAGAGCTCTGTGGTGTGAGTTAGTTTGTTTTTGTGGAGATGTCTTCCAGAACTGTACCGGATCAGCTGGACAGCAGATCCCTGGTCGTGGTAGCAGATCCCTGGTCGTGTTAGCAGATCCCTGGTCGTGTTAGCAGATCCCTGGTCGTGGTAGCAGATCTCTGGTCTTGTCGTTGTAGCAGATCCCTGGTCATGGTAGCAGATCCCTGGTCGTGGTAGCAGATCCCTGGTCGTGGTAGCAGACCTCTGGTCGTGGTAGCAGATCCCTGGTCGTGGTAGCAGATTCCTGGTCGTGGTAGCAGATCTCTGGTCGTGGTAGCAGATCTCCGGTCGTAGTAGCAGATCCCTGGTCGTGGTAGCAGATCCCTGGTCGTGGTAGCAGATCTCCGGTCGTAGTAGCAGATCCCTGGTCGTGGTAGCAGATCCCTGGTCGTGGTAGCAGATCTCTGTTCGTGGTAGCAAATCCCTGGTCGTGTCGTGGTAGCAGATCCCTGGTGGTGGTAGCATATCCCTGGTCGTGGTAGCAGATTTCTGTTCGTAGTAGCAGATCTCTGGTCGTGGTAGCAGATCCCTGGTCGTGGTAGCAGATCTCCGGTCGTAGTAGCAGATCCCTGGTCGTGGTAGCAGATCCCTGGTCGTGGTAGCAGATCTCTGTTCGTGGTAGCAAATCCCTGGTCGTGTCGTGGTAGCAGATCCCTGGTGGTGGTAGCATATCCCTGGTCGTGGTAGCAGATTTCTGTTCGTAGTAGCAGATCTCTGGTCGTGGTAGCAGATCCCTGGTCGTGGTAGCAGATCCCTGGTCGTGGTAGCAGATCCCTGGTCGTGGTAGCAGATCCCTGGTCGTTGTAGCAGATCCCTGGTCATGGTAGCAGATCCCTGGTCGTGGCAGCAGATCCCTGGTCGTGGCAGCAGATCCCTGGTCGTGTCGTGGTAGCAGATCCCTGGTGGTGGTAGCATATCCCTGGTCGTGGTAGCAGATTTCTGGTCGTGGTAACAGATCTCTGGTCGTGGTACCAGATCTCTGGTCGTGGTAGCAGATCTCTGGTCGTGGTAGCAGATCCCTGGTCGTGGTAGCAGATCTCTGGTCGTGGTAGCAGATCCCTGGTCGTGGTAGCAGATCTTTGGTCGTGGTAGCAGATCCCTGGTCGTGGTAGCAGATCCCTGGTCGTGGTAGCAGATCCTTGGTCGTGGTAGCAGATCCCTGGTCGTTGTAGCAGATCCCTGGTCGTGGTAGCAGATCCCTGGTCGTGGCAGCAGATCCCTGGTCGTGGCAGCAGATCCCTGGTCGTATTAGTAGATCTCTGGTCGTGTTAGCAGATCCCTGGTCGTGGTAGCAGATCCCTGGTCGTGGTAGCAGATCTCTGGTCGTGGTAGCAGATCCCTGGTCGTGGTAGCAGATCCCTGGTCGTGGTAGCAGATCTCTGGTCGTGGTAGCAGATCCCTGGTCGTGGTAGCAGATCCCTGGTCGTGGTAGCAGATCCCTGGTCGTGGTAGCAGATCTCTGGTCGTGGTAGCAGATCCCTGGTCGTGGTAGCAGATCCCTGGTCGTGGTAGCAGATCCCTGGTCGTGTTAGCAGATCCCTGGTCGTGGTAGCAGATCTCACATCCCTGTGTCAGTTTTGTATATGTGATTATTATGTCAAACTTTCTCTTGCTAGACGATTGACACCTTTGTCTTAATAGTAAGTTGTTTCTCTCTCTCTCTCTCTCTCTCTCTCTCTCTCTCTCTCTCTCTCTCTCTCTCTCTCTCTCTCTCTCTCTCTCTCTCTCTCTCTCTCTCTTTCTCTTTCTGTCTCTCTAGCGCGCGCTGGGTAAGCGAAAAATACAAGACACCGAAAAAAGAAATAAATGACTCCGCTGGCTGGATATTCTACACGGAATTTTTTTTTTTCTTGTTGCAGGTTATCGGCTCCACTGACACCCAGACAGCCCGTTCTGTCACTCTTAAATGCTCATCGACATTAGAGAAGGAAAGAAAGTACCAGCAAACCAACTCTAAACACATACGCACAAGAGAGAAGCAAAAGAACCTCACAATTGTGTTACGAAGGAATGGAAGTCAAACTAAAATTGACAAACCAACTCAAGAAACGTCTGTAATTCGAACCTAACACATCGAGATCGTCACTTCCTGTGTCCACTTCATCACTGATCTGTTGTGTGTCCATGTCTACTTCCATAAAACACCTCTTGAAAGCAGATGTCCTGATATAAAAAGCGTGACGTGGGACCGGATCTTCAATGAGACATTTGTTCCCAGCATTCTAAGGATCCTCCAGGTGCCCTAACTGGACATCCAGCGACAGGAAAGCCAGCACAGTAGAATGGAACCCCGGACGCCAGCTGTCGCAACCACAAGTAGCGAGCATTCCCAGCTGAAGATCTCCAGGTGGCGGTAACTGTTTCCTACCCAGCGCACACAACAAAGGAGATTGTGTCGGCACACTTTTAACGTCTGCTACTCATTGGCCATGAATTGGATGACTACAGCACGTGCCCTGTCGTACCTGGCAGGTTTTGTCTTCACTCTCTTCGTGCCGCCCATCTCTGTCAGGTGTCATGACAACAATGTGGTCCCTTTCTCCGACATGAACAAGACTCTTCGTGATCACATCCGCAAGCAGAGGTTTCTCAAGCATGTGCTCCATCAGCTGCGAGGCTCTGAGACTCCGCTCAAAAACTCCACGTCTTCAGCAGGTCCTTCTCAGAGAGCTGCTTTCTCATGGCTGGTCCCGGACACGGACTACGGCTCAAACACGCCATCCTCTCAACATTCACACAACAGCACCAACATGGTCAACAGACCAGTGCCAGACAAAGGCCTGACCTCGCTGGCCAGTTTGTCCCCTCCAAACCTGGTTTTCTCGGAACGTGAAGGTCAGTATTTTGTGTGTGGCTCATATTCTTGATAGAACAAGAGGACAGTGTATCTAGCTCATCCTTATCATTATCGTCATCATTGTTATCATCATCCCTAACATCATTATCCCCCATCAGGACATCACACTGAGCGACAAACATCCGATGACACAAAATGTCACCATTCGGAGGAGAATCACCCGTGGAGAGGTCTCGGAAACACCGTACAACCGTTAGGTTATATTAGGGCCCCTGGTAACAACCAGAGTGAGGCTTTAAAATAATGAAAAATGTATCCTACAAGGGAAAGCAGATGGATATCAAAAAGGGACGTAAGTGCGAACAAGTAATGGAATCTTCTCATCATTTACAACTGCTGCGAATATTTTACCTACTAATAAAATACAGCCTCCGTGTCCAGCCGGCCTACGCGAGAACTGTCTATTCGTTAACATACTAGCATACTCTCTATGACTTGCCTACAAGCTGGCATACTCTCTATGACTTGCCTACAAGCTGGCATACTCTCTATGACTTGCCTACAAGCTAGCATACTCTCTATGACTTGCCTACAAGCTAGCATACTCTCTATGACTTGCCTACAAGCTAGCATACTCTCTATGACTTGCCTACAAGCTGGCATACTCTCTATGACTTGCCTACAAGCGAGCATACTCTCTGTGACTTGCCTACAAGCTGGCATACTCTCTATGACTTGCCTACAAGCTGGCATACTCTCTATGACTTGCCTACAAGCTGGCATACTCTCTATGACTTGCCTACAAGCTGGCATACTCTCTATGACTTGCCTACAAGCGAGCATACTCTCTGTGACTTGCCTACAAGCGAGCATACTCTCTGTGACTTGCCTACAAGCTAGCATACTCTCTATGACTTGCCTACAAGCGAGCATACTCTCTGTGACTTGCCTACAAGCTAGCATACTCTCTATGACTTACCTACAAGCTAGCATACTCTCTATGACTTGCCTACAAGCTAGCATACTCTCTATGACTTGCCTACAAGCTAGCATACTCTCTATGACTTGCCTACAAGCTAGCATACTCTCTATGACTTGCCTACAAGCTAGCATACTCTCTATGACTTGCCTACAAGCGAGCATACTCTCTATGGCTTGCCTACAAGCTAGCATACTCTCTATGGCTTGCCTACAAGCTAGCATACTCTCTATGACTTGCCTACAAGCTAGCATACTCTCCATGGCTTGCCTACAAGCTAGCACACTCTCTAACGTTTGCCTACAAGCTAGCATACTCTCCATGGCTTGCCTACAAGCTAGCATACTCTCCATGGCTTGCCTACAAGCGAGCATACTCTCTAACGTTTGCCTACAAGCTAGCATACTCTCTATGGCTTGCCTACAAGCTAGCATACTCTCTATGACTTGCCTACAAGCTAGCATACTCTCTATGACTTGCCTACAAGCTAGCATACTCTCTATGACTTACCTACAAGCTAGCATACTCTCTATGACTTGCCTACAAGCTAGCATACTCTCTATGACTTGCCTACAAGCTAGCATACTCTCTATGACTTGCCTACAAGCTAGCATACTCTCTATGACTTGCCTACAAGCTAGCATACTCTCTATGACTTGCCTACAAGCTAGCATACTCTCTATGACTTGCCTACAAGCTAGCATACTCTCTATGACTTGCCTACAAGCGAGCATACTCTCTATGGCTTGCCTACAAGCTAGCATACTCTCTATGGCTTGCCTACAAGCTAGCATACTCTCTATGACTTGCCTACAAGCTAGCATACTCTCTATGACTTGCCTACAAGCTAGCATACTCTCTATGACTTGCCTACAAGCTAGCATACTCTCTATGACTTGCCTACAAGCTAGCATACTCTCTATGACTTGCCTACAAGCTAGCATACTCTCTATGACTTGCCTACAAGCTAGCATACTCTCTATGACTTGCCTACAAGCTAGCATACTCTCTATGGCTTGCCTACAAGCTAGCATACTCTCTATGACTTGCCTACAAGCTAGCATACTCTCTATGACTTGCCTACAAGCTAGCATACTCTCTATGACTTGCCTACAAGCTAGCATACTCTCTATGGCTTGCCTACAAGCTAGCATACTCTCTATGGCTTGCCTACAAGCTAGCATACTCTCTATGGCTTGCCTACAAGCTACTCATACTCTACTATGACTTGCCTACAAGCTAGCATACTCTCTATGACTTGCCTACAAGCTAGCATACTCTCTAAGCTACAAGCTAGCATACTCTCTATGGCTTGCCTACAAGCTAGCATACTCTCTATGGCTTGCCTACAAGCTAGCATACTCTCTATGGCTTTGCCTACAAGCTAGCATACTCTCTATGGCTTGCCTACAAGCTAGCATACTCTCTATGACTTGCCTACAAGCTAGCATACTCTCTATGGCTTGCCTACAAGCTAGCATACTCTCTATGGCTTGCCTACAAGCTAGCATACTCTCTATGGCTTGCCTACAAGCTAGCATACTCTCTATGACTTGCCTACAAGCTAGCATACTCTCTATGACTTGCCTACAAGCTAGCATACTCTCTATGGCTTGCCTACAAGCTAGCATACTCTCTATGGCTTGCCTACAAGCTAGCATACTCTCTATGGCTTGCCTACAAGCTAGCATACTCTCTATGACTTGCCTACAAGCTAGCATACTCTCTATGACTTGCCTACAAGCTAGCATACTCTCTATGACTTGCCTACAAGCTAGCATACTCTCTATGGCTTGCCTACAAGCTAGCATACTCTCTATGGCTTGCCTACAAGCTAGCATACTCTCTATGACTTGCCTACAAGCTAGCATACTCTCTCTATGACTTGCCTACAAGCTAGCATACTCTCTATGACTTGCCTACAAGCTAGCATACTCTCTATGACTTGCCTACAAGCTAGCATACTCTCTATGACTTGCCTACAAGCTAGCATACTCTCTATGGCTTTGCCTACAAGCTAGCATACTCTCTATGACTTGCCTACAAGCTAGCATACTCTCTATGGCTTGCCTACAAGCTAGCATACTCTCTATGGCTTGCCTACAAGCATAGCATACTCTCTATGACTTGCCTACAAGCTAGCATACTCTCTATGACTTGCCTACAAGCTAGCATACTCTCTATGACTTGCCTACAAGCTAGCATACTCTCTATGACTTGCCTACAAGCTAGCATACTCTCTATGACTTGCCTACAAGCTAGCATACTCTCTATGACTTGCCTACAAGCTAGCATACTCTCTATGACTTGCCTACAAGCTAGCATACTCTCTATGACTTGCCAAACAAGCTACAAGCTAGCATACTCTCTATGACTTGCCTACAAGCTAGCATACTCTCTATGACTTGCCTACAAGCTAGCATACTCTCTATGACTTGCCTACAAGCTAGCATACTCTCTATGACTTGCCTACAAGCTAGCATACTCTCTATGACTTGCCTACAAGCTAGCATACTCTCTATGACTTGCCTACAAGCTAGCATACTCTCTATGACTTGCCTACAAGCTAGCATACTCTCTATGACTTGCCTACAAGCTAGCATACTCTCTATGACTTGCCTACAAGCTAGCATACTCTCTATGACTTGCCTACAAGCTAGCATACTCTCTATGACTTGCCTACAAGCTAGCATACTCTCTATGACTTGCCTACAAGCTAGCATACTCTCTATGACTTGCCTACAAGCTAGCATACTCTCTATGACTTGCCTACAAGCTAGCATACTCTCTATGACTTGCCTACAAGCTAGCATACTCTCTATGACTTGCCTACAAGCTAGCATACTCTCTATGACTTGCCTACAAGCTAGCATACTCTCTATGACTTGCCTACAAGCTAGCATACTCTCTATGGCTTGCCTACTAGCATACTCTCTACAAGCTAGCATACTCTCTATGACTTGCCTACAAGCTAGCATACTCTCTATGAGTTGCCTACAAGCTAGCATACTCTCTATGACTTGCCTACAAGCTAGCATACTCTCTATGACTTGCCTACAAGCTAGCATACTCTCTATGGCCTTGCCTACAAAGCTAGCATACTCTCTATGGCTTGCCTACAAGCTAGCATACTCTCTATGGCTTGCCTACAAGCTAGCATACTCTCTATGACTTGCCTACAAGCTAGCATACTCTCTATGGCTTGCCTACAAGCTAGCATACTCTCTATGGCTTGCCTACAAGCTAGCATACTCTCTATGGCTTGCCTACAAGCTAGCATACTCTCTATGGCTTGCCTACAAGCTAGCATACTCTCTATGGCTGCCTACAAGCTAGCATACTCTCCATGGCTGCCTACAAGCTAGCATACTCTCTATGGCTGCCTACAAGCTAGGATACGCTCTATGGCTTGCCTACAAGCTAGCATACTCTCTATGACTTGCCTACAAGCTAGCATACTCTCTATGGCTTGCCTACAAGCTAGCATACTCTCTATGGCTTGCCTACAAGCTAGCATACTCTCTATGGCTTGCCTACAAGCTAGCATACTCTCTATGACTTGCCTACAAGCTAGCATACTCTCTATGGCTTGCCTACAAGCTAGCATACTCTCTATGGCTTGCCTACAAGCTAGCATACTCTCTATGGCTTGCCTACAAGCTAGCATACTCTCTATGGCTTGCCTACAAGCTAGCATACTCTCTATGACTTGCCTACAAGCTAGCATACTCTCTATGACTTGCCTACAAGCTAGCATACTCTCTATGGCTTGCCTACAAGCTAGCATACTCTCTATGACTTGCCTACAAGCTAGCATACTCTCTATGGCTTGCCTACAAGCTAGCATACTCTCTATGACTTGCCTACAAGCTAGCATACTCTCTATGGCTTGCCTACAAGCTAGCATACTCTCTATGGCTTGCCTACAAGCTAGCATACTCTCTATGGCTTGCCTACAAGCTAGCATACTCTCTATGACTTGCCTACAAGCTAGCATACTCTCCATGGCTTGCCTACAAGCTAGCATACTCTCTATGGCTTGCCTACAAGCTA